GGCTTATATCTCTCAAATGATGCATTTTTTTGGACTTGAGCTTAGAGAGACAAAGTTGTAGAGAATTGAATTTCCTTCAAAATGGGATTTTTTAGGGAAAAGTTGATGAAGCATGTGAAAGTTATGCCTGGTCAAAGTTCAGTTGACTTCTCCTAAGAAAACCCTAATTTGGAAACTTTTGACTTTTGATGATTTGAAGGATTTTCTTGAGGAATCATGATCAATCCTTGATAAAATGATGAATATGACTTCAAAATGTTGATGTTGACCAAAAATCTTGAAATTTGATTGTATGTTGACCATACTTGACTTTTTACCCAATACACTTGATTTTCAGTCATCTGAGCTATTGACTCAGCAAACTTGTGATGTAAGGTTTGAAACTTGACATGAGCATTCTTAGAGACATATGAAGAACCATGAAAACCACTTGAGACCTTTGAAACCCAAATTTCCTTGAGAAATACAAAACCCTAATTGAGGGACCATTGCTTAGGAGGAGAATTTGTCTGATAAATTCTTAGGCAATCTTGAGCAAATGAGGGCCTTAGAAGAATGTCTTGAAGAAAAATAGAAGGGAAAATTTTGGGGTACAACAATGGCAATCTTGAAACATGTTTTCTCTCTCTTCATCAACAAAGGTTTTAAGACATATTACAACATGATTGATTGCCTTTTGACGACATGTTGTAAATCTTAATGCATGCAACATATGTAGTTCTTGGTCGTAAGGGAGAAGGAAATATTTTCAATTCATACTTACTGTGTCAGAGTCTAGACGAGCGAGCAGAGCCCAGGATACAAAGAATCTCGTCATAGAGTATTCAACTATAAGTATAAGACTGTTGGCCTGAGAGAAGGTGACCTCCCTTGGAAAACATGGCCCAGTTTTTCTTCTTTCTTTTCCTCAGGGAAATTGATTTCCAATATTCATTATAGATCATGCCCTTAATCCACTCTAGAGCTCTTGAAAGCTCCCACGTGCATGGTATCGGGCCCAATTTTTCCAAAACCACTTATGATAAAAGTCACGCCAAAACAAGAGAGTGAAGTGAGCGATCACTAGCGCATCCTAGGCCTCGGTGCCCTACAGAGCTGGAGAGGCCTAGCCTAATTCGAGAAATGCTAATATGGTTTAGATATACTTGATTCAAGATTGGCGCCACCCCTGGAATCAACAATAAAACTCGTGCTAAGTTTCATATCAATGAATAAACCAAAACAAAAGAAGAAAGAGACCTTTCTCGCTCGGCGCCTAAATCACATTATGCTCCACTTCAACAAATGAGAGTTTTCAGTTAAACTGAATTCTGAAAGGAAAGCTACTTTAGAATGGTAGTTGTATGAGCGGTATCGTCCATGTACGACTCCATGAGAAGGGTGGTGGGCAGAAATGGTCTTGTTGTACCTCATTCTCGTCTTCAATGGGGTCTGCTCTTTTTTTTGGAGAGTATGCCAATATGATCTTAATGCCATTATTTGGTTTGTGGTTAAATACACCCACCAACAAAAGGCTTATATAAAAAAGAAGAATTATATGTAAAATACCTATAATACATATAAGGACTTTTTGCAGCTAGAGAGAGGTGGGTTGCAAATGAAGACCATCTTCAAATTTCAAGATGTGTATGAAATAGTGAATGATAGAGTGCCATCATTGGAAGCGAATGCAGATGGTGTTCAGAAATCTACACACAAGGATCAAAGGAAGAAATATGGAGAGAAAAAACTATGTTCTTGATTCACCATTGTGTGGACCCTAACGTGTTTGAGAAGATAATTAAAGAGGAAACAACCAAAGGAGCATGGGACAAGGTAAAGAACTTGTATGACATAGATGAGAAATCAAAGAGGGTGAAGTTAGAGACGTTGAGAAATCAATTTGAGATGACTCAGATGAAGGAAGATGAATCTGTCTTGAAATACTTTTCACGTGTGCTGTTGTTGATGAACCAGATGAAGGCGTATGGTGAATCAATCAATGATTTGTAGAAGATTGAGAAAATGTTGAGATCTCTGACTGCAAATTTTGATTATATTGTCGTGTCTATTGAAGAATCCAAGAATCTAGTTGATATGAAGTTGAAAGAACTTCAAGCTTCACTTGAGGCTCATGAGATGAGGCTGAAGCAAAGAAACCCAAAAAGGGAGAAGATGGTTGATCATGAAGAGGAGCATGTTGAAAGCTATAAATATGCCAAAGATATTTTAGGGTAGAATAGCTTCGATAATAATATACATTCTAAAGAGATGTCCAACAAAGAAGATTGTCGAGAAGACATCTTATGAGGCTTGGACATGACATAAGCCAAATGTCATTCATCTTAGAGTTTTTGGATCAATATGTTTCAGGCAAGTTCCTGAACAATTGAGGAAGAAGCGAGATGATCGAAGTAAGACCATAGTGCTCATAAGTTATCATTTAACTGGTGCATACAAGTTATATTCACCTAATGATGATAACATAGAGATCAATAGAGATGTTCTAGTGGATAAAAGAAAATTGTGGGATTGGAGTCATGTGTTAGTTCAACGGGATTTAGATACAATCACAATTGTGTTTGAAGAAGATCAATAAATTGAAGTCACAACTAATCGAAATGTCAGAAGATCGATTAGAACGAGAATTGAGTCGACAAGGCTAGCTGGATATGAGAGATTCCCATATCAAGAAATTGATGCAGATGGTGACTTAATAGAAGAAGTGATGATGATGGCTGAAGTTGAACCAATTAATTTGGATCAAGCCATGAATGATTCGAACTGGTGTGAAGCCATGAAAGAAAAACTCAGAGCAATCAAGAAGACACGACTTGGGAAATTTTTAAAAGAGCTAGCTAGAAGCCAATTTATGAGATGTGAGTTTACAAGCTAAAACGAAGGCCAAATAGTGATATTGCCAAGCATAATACAAGACTAGTGGCGAGAGGTTTTCTGCAAAAATTGGTTTTAATTTTGACAAATTCTACGCACCTGTTGCAAGGCTGGAGACAATCAAAATTGTTGCGTAGACGGTAGAATACAGAGGGTGGAAGATACATCAGTTGGATGTAAAGTCATCATTTCTGAATGGACCTTTAGAAGAATAAGTATATGTTAGTCAACCACCATGATTCGAAATCAAAGGGTAAGAGTCGAAGGTGTACAGATTGAGGAAGTATTTATATGGCTTGAAGCAAGCTCTGAAGGCTTGGTACAAGAGAATAGATAGCTTCCTAATCAAATTAGGTTTCACAAATTGTGTCTTTGAACATAGAGTGCATGTCAATAATGTTGACAGGGTCAATCGAATAATTTTATGCATGTATGTAGATGATTTATTGACTACAAGTGAAGATGAAGTTGAGATAAGAAGAGTCAAGTTGAAGTTGATGCAAGAGTTTGAAATGTTCAACCTAAGAAACTTGTCATATTTCTTAGAGATGGAGTTCAAAGACACTGGTGAAAGAGTGTTCTTGCACCAGAAGAAGTATGCTCAAGACATCTTGAAGAGGTTCAACATGAGCATCTGTAATGCAACTGCAACGCCACTAGAACTAGAGCAAAATTGAGGAAGGGGGCAAATGATGAGTTTGTAAGTGAAACAACGTACAAACAAATTATTGAATTCTTGAGGTATCTTTGCAACAGCATGCCAGACATTTGTCAAAGTGTCAAATTGTTGAGCAGATTCATGGATAAACTCCAAAATTGTCATCTCACCATAGTTAAGATAATATTGAGATATATAAAGGGTACGATTAATCATGGTGTGGTGATGCTAAGACAAAAGACGACCAACACATATGTATAGGTATTTGGCTACACTGATTCTAATTTCAATGGAGATCATGACGAGAAGAATAGTATTGCATGCTATATATTCATGATCAAAGGCACTCCAGTATCTTGGAGCTCAAGAAAGCAAAGTATTGTGGCTTTTTCATCATGTGAAGATGAGTATGTGGTTACATCGTATGCGATGTTGCTCGAAGAGCTCAATATCATGGAACCTAAGAAGATAAGTTGTTTGTAGATAGCAAGCCAACCATCGATCTAACTAATCATCCTATGTGTCATGGTCGAAGTAAACACATAGAGAGGAAATATCATTTTATTAGAGATCAAGTAAACAAAGGGAAGCTTGAACTTGAGCATTGTAAGACATAATGGAAACTAGCTGATATACTCACCAAACCTCTGAGGAAAGCCAAGTTTGAAGAGTTTAAGAAAAGCATTGGAATGAAAAATCTCGAAAACATGAATTAGGTGGTGTGTTAGAAGTTATAATTTGATGTTTTGTAGAAGAGATAATATTCGACTATGTCAAAGTAACTGTATTCGTTAGGGTCGAATACATCATTTAGTTAAGTGTATCAAAATATACTTTGTATGTTTTAGATTTGAGTTGTAATTAGGCTTGGGTTGTAAATATGAGTCTGACCTTGATCGTCTATAAATAAATATGCTATTGAAATAATTAAATAGTAACACTTAACGAATTTTCAAGTACAATTTTTCTCTCTTTTCTCTCTTCTTCTTCTCTCATCTTTCTTGAAATCTCTTTTATCCCAACAAACACATATAACAAAAATATGGAGAAGAGTAAATTTGTTAGAATAAAAAAAATACAAAAAAAAAAGATAAACAAAGATGAACAAATGAAAGATGCACTAGATTAATAAGAGTAAAAATTAAAAGTTGATCATGGTAGAAATTTTAAAAAGGAACTAAAGATATTTTCATCAAACAAAAATGTAACTAGAAATTCAACGGATATAATTAAAGAATTTTTAACAATAAAGTAACAAAAAACTTCCCACTATTTATGATTATATTTACAACGTTATATACATAATTTCACCACCCTCAATAAAATACAAGCAGTGGCTTTATCATAAAAGATATATATATATAGAATGGAACAATGCCATAAAAAAAATTCAAAGGAAAAAGGCCATGAAATTCTCTATGACCAAAAAGAAAAAGAAAAAAAAAAGTGTCTTTTTCTTTACCAAATTTCATGGCAATGAATGAAACCTCCTAATATGATTAAGAAACTGAAAAACAGGCAAAAGACAAGCCTTAATTGTGTTCCCACCAACAATTCTCCACCATGAAGAAGCTTCTCCCTTCACCCTTTCCCAGAAAGCTACAATGCAGTTTTGGTTTCTAGTAGCCAAAAGTGCTGCAGATTGTAAATAAACCGAAGCTGCACGTTTAACCAACTCGTTCCTAATAGCAATGTTTGAGTCAAAAGCATTTCCTTCATATATTGACCACCTTGGTGTATTGCAGATAATGTCCTTCAAACTTGTGTAATGTAAGTCATTGCTGATGTCTAATGAAGAATTTCTTGGAATTCTTAATGAACCACGTGAACTAATTAACTCAACCTCTTCTATCTCTGGTTCCATGTTTTCTTAACATAAGCCATGTAACGTTGAACTATTAATATTGTTCAGAATTTGAGGAGATGTTCTTTGGATTATTTTTGCAAATATGTGAAAATTTTCAGTTTGGGTTGTTGTGGAGAATGGAAGATGAAAAGAGGTGAGCATTTATTAAATTTAGGAGTTAGCTACATTAAGTTAATCTTTTATTGTTCAGTAGTTTTCTGTGACAGAGAGTGTTTTGAGGATTAATTACTGATTTTAATAGGGTTTCCTAACATATAGGGACCCCGAAAAATAGGGTTATATATTGGACGTTTATTTAGCTTTGTTCATTTGATGAAAAGTATGTACATAGAAAACAGCCTAATTTAAAACACAAAACTCCAATGCATGTGATTTATATTACTATATTAAGAAAATTTGCGTTACCTAACATTTTAATATTTTACCTTTTCTTATAATAAGACAGAAACTTGCTTATGTGTTCTTTAAAAGTAATTTCTTAATTATTATAACTCATAACTTTTTTCACTCTCTCTTATTCTCTTTAATAATATTTAATGTGACTATCTAATAATAATAATAATAATAATTGTTTTGTGCCGAAAACAGAAATAGATGTGGTCATAGAGGTTACAGTTGAGGGGAGTTTTTGATGCAATAGAATGAGAGTGTATCTTCAAGGTTAGTAATTCAACATTCAAGTTAGTATGTGAATGAGAGAAAAAATATTTAAATTGTATTCGAAAATTGTTATCTAAAATAGCGTCATCCGCATATATAGAGGAGTTGAATAACATACTCGCTAACTAATCGGCGTGAAATACGGATGACCGTTGGATGCATTGGAGGAATGAATCTTCTGCTTCTAAATCACTAAATGTTAAATGGTCAAGGGAATATTCCAGAAGCTTTAGTGCCCGTTTGAGATGGATCTGGAATGTTACGCTTGGAAGTGGCTGGACTAAAAAAGGGTTTGCTTGGATCAGATCTTTGAAAGTGGGGCCGAATCCCTAAGTATGTGGACGATCTAGAGCAATTTCCCCCAAGACTCTCGGGACTTAGGAACTAGGAAGTCTTTTCACAGTATTGGTCGGTCGTTTTGAAGTTATTCCTCGGATGCTCGAAGAAGTGGAGACGTCTAGAATGCATTGTATGAGTGCTTGGTGCATTTAATATTTTTATTTGTTTCGGACTTGCTGTCTCTCTAACTCGTTAACACGTCGCCTCATATAAGTGGGTTAGAGATTGATTACCCTACCTGGTGACTCAAGTGCTTCTTTATTCGAGGAGACTTGATGGGACAAGAAGCACGTTACCCTCAAATGGTTTGATCTAGGTCGTTGATCTTTTTGTTATTTTTTCTAATAAGAGTTTAGGTGTTATTTTTTCAATTTTGTAGTTATTTCGTCCTCGTCTATCTTCTTCACATTGTTTCACCTTATTCATCAAATCTTCAGTCTCACTTATCTTATCAGTGCTGATGGCGGCGATGGTCATTGAAGATTATTCTTGGGTAAAGTCGTCATATTTAGGTCATGATTATGTTTTTATTTAGGGTAAGGAAATTTCGTTTGATCTTTTGTTGATATGTTTCAAATGGGAAATCTCACTGATCCCGGACGAAAGCAAGATCTTCCATTTCTTCGAGAGGTAATATGTCCCTTTTTATGCTTGTATCTTTCGAGACCTAGGGGTTCACCTTCCATTAACTCCTTTTGAGAAGGAGGTTCAGCTGGATCATCTTCGTATTCCTCCTTTTAAACTTCATCTGCGTGCCTAGGGTTTTATGGGAGTATTCTAATAATGGTGTGAATATCAGGGGAAAGAGGGTGTCAATTTTGGAGATCTTTTCTTCAACCTTTTCGAAGCATGTCCTTCTTCAAAGGGTGTCGTTGGGCGTGGGTTTGTTTCCCTTCGTCTTATTCAAAATTGTGTCTTCAATGTTACTACAACAAATAACGCTTTTAACCTTGGACGCGAAATGTGTTTTACCTCGGCTAAAACAGCGAGGTAACAAAAGATATCATGAAAAGTTTGCACTTAACACCTTGGTGATTAAAAAACCGAGAGATATAGTTATTATTTTCAAAAGGGTTAAATATATGTTACCCCTGCCATTGTAGTGAGTTTTGATTTACCCTCCTCGTAATATTAGGATTCCCTGCCTAAGGCCTCTGAGTTCAGATTCTATTTTTGAATGATATGACAGTTCAGTTAGATTTTAATTTTGTTCTTGTTTTAATTTTTAAAAATATGTGAATTAATTTGTTTTTTTATATTAATTTTTTTAATTATTTGTATTAATATTTTTTATGAAATTATATTTTCAAATTAATTATTAAAATATTATTTGAGCCTTAAAGACCCATTAACTACTCAAACCCAATTATACTTCCAATTCAATCTATTATTTCAAGATTTGAAATGTAGGGTGCAAAAGAACCTTATAAACACTTCAATTTTTTTTTAAAATTTGGATGTGAGACTTATTTTGAACAATCAATTTCTTTTGACTCTTTAACAATCAGCACCCCACTTTACACAGGTTCATTCAAAATTTGTGTTGGGGCTTCCACCGATTCATGAAACGTTGGTTACGTTGGTGAGGGTGACCATTCTAATGCTTTGGAAAATTTTTATGAAATGGAAGCTGCTGGAGCCACAAAAAGTGAGCATGAACTCAAGATTCTTTGGGTAGGAGAAATACAATCAGAAGAATCATTTGATATCAAGTCCGAAAGAACTAACAAATATTTTCTAGATGAAGTAAATAACCATAACTTATGACACACTAAATATCCATATAAAACCATAGACAAAATATCAAACTGCAATTCAATAGAATAATATTAAATACAAGCAAGTACAGAAATAACATTAAAAGCCGTCCAAATTACGAGATTTTTCTTAAACTATACCGATACAACATTTAAAATTCCAAATCCATTTCCTTTTATTCTTTCTATTCTCTATTCTAATTATTGGACTAATGCATTATTACATAATTTACATTTGCATCACTTGCTACAAATGTAGCACAGTGACAAGTTATGCCATATAAGCTATTCTGTTTAACAAAGCCTTAAAGTAAATGAAGCATGCTTGAGCAATATTTAAGTTGTTGTGGTTTTCTTGTCATTATAAGTAGCTCAGGAGTCCCACTTCCATTTGTAGTAAAATAACATTAGTGTTTATAAATAAATCACACATAGAGACTAATAAATTGAATTTTAAAAATAGGTTTAATAGATTTAAGCCCAAATGTAATATTTTGGTGAATTTAAAATATTAATTCATAAAAAATATTAATACAAATTATTTTAAAAAATGTATAAAAAAAATTAAAAATAATACTAGAACAAATCATTTAAAAAAACGTTGTCATGTCATTCTGAACTCAATACAAAAAAAAATTAAAACTTGTTACATTCTTTACTCATAGATGGTTTATATAGAATGTTAAAATTAAAATAAAAGTCAAATTTTCTAAGGATCTAGATAAAAATTAAATTCTCCCAAGATTTAGACTTTAGATCTTCAAATTATTGAATCTTGGGGAAGAGTTTCGGTTGGATCTTACATGCAATTGTTTCTGATGAAAAAAAAGGGTAAGATAATTAATATCAAAAATCAAATCATTTTCGGTTTAAATAAATATTTAAGAAGACAAACCTTAAACTCAATTTTTTTTTATGTTCTTACAATTCATCATAGAGAATTTTTTCAAGCGTCATTAGGTTCCAAGTGCTTCATATGTTCCATTTACATTAAATTTTCAATATTCAACATGCTTTTATAATGGATGTCCCTTAGGTTTCACATGGATCACTAATGGTAACTTCTTGAGGTTGATACTAATTAAATGGACGACAAAGATTTGTTAAGGCCGGTATAGATAGTATAGAAAAAATGCTTAACTATCAACTCGGTCATGACAAATTACTGAGGTGAATGCACATTTTATTTTATTTTAATTACATTATTTTCCTATTATGGTTGTTCCTTCTTTGAAGTCTGTTTGTTCCTCAAAGTTGAATCATGTTTCTTCAAATATTTTTGTAACCATGTTTCCGTAGGGAAGTTGTGTTCCTCTTGTTCTGCTTTCCAACATATAGTCAGTTATTTGTTGGGCCCAATTAATCTTTACATTATTTTCAATAAACCAGATGGTTTCTAAACCGGCTTGGGTTACGAGACCGAAGTTTCCTGTTCTGGGAAAGAGGATGTGAGTCATTATGTAGGGAATCATCATGCTTTCATGAATGATATATCCTGCTGTGACTGAATAAGAAACATGTGAAAAGGGATTTTTCATTAAGGAGGATGCATCGGCGACATAGTTGTACATATTGGCTTTGTCTCCTAACTCGGTGAGATAATCTTCATGAGAGAGGTCTATTAGTTTCCCAAATTCTTTTATAGACAAGTTTATGCGGTGTTTTCTTACTTTGCTCTTAAGAATTCCATCAGTTCGATGAAGGTTTGAGAAAACATTTTCACTAGGGTGGTATAAACACTTTTTTGAGGGTGTGTAAAGGAAGTTTGAGATTTTGAGTTCTTCTAGGATTTTAAAGAAGTTGCACTCTTTGAAATCTTTAGGATCTAAGGTATGAACTCTCTGATTGTTCGATTGGCAAAGTGTTTGAAGAATCTAGTTTCTTGTTGTTTGGTTTTAAATTCTTCAATGAGAGGGTTGAAGGTGAAGCTTAATCTTCTAAGATTCATGATGAAATTTTGAGAATAATCATATTAGTGTGTATGGGAAAGAAAATATGAGATACAAGAGAAGGTAAGAATACAACACCTAGTTACAGCGAGCATTCGTATGGGTTTGGGCTTTTATTCGGAGCAAGAATTGGATGAGGATTGTGTTGTCCAAAAATAGTATCCATATTCGCTAAATTTGGGTCTTCTAATCGGTTGGATTTTGTTTTAACCGATAGGATTTCTCAATCTTTCATATTTTGATGAGATTTAAATTAATGCTAAGATTTGATCTTCTAGACGCATTAGGCTGA